TAAAATAATCAATGAAGATATGACAACCGACAGATGAAATGGTCAATAAAAATAGTCAATATAAAATATTGAAAGGTCAAGTGTCCGAAGGCGGCTCTCTCAGTCTCAAGGTCGTTACAAAATTCTTTGTGGATACAGCAAGGTTAGATTTACATGTTAAACTGGTTCTAGCAACATGAAGAGTGTTTTTTGAATTTGGAGATATCTAATGAGTTCTAAGAAATAGTCGAACAGTCTACATAGAACAATCTGTCTGTTTTTACGTTTTTTCTTTATTATTATTATCTCTTTTACTCTGACGACCATACTGGAGGACTAACTGGTGAAAGGACCTACTCCATTCACAGTAGTGACAGTCTTAACACACCTCATACAAACCACTACTCTTTTTGGAGTCAACCAAAGCCACGACAGTCGAGTGACGGGACGAGCTACGCAGAACTTTACCAAAGATCAGGAACCTATGCCTCACAATCAAAAGGCGAGCACAAAGAAAACAAATTGCTCTACACCAGATCGTAACAAACAATTTTAGGTATTGGAATCGAATTATCAAAGCTAACATATATCGGCTTTCATAAACCCATCTCGAGATGGATTTTTTTTCGAAGTGATTAGGTTCTAGCAGATTTTACTTCATTCATTTCAATGTTTACTGGTAGACAATGGAGGAAAAGGATTTATATGACAGGAGACTTTGTTTCAGGTTTTGACATATTTAGAAACCAAACCGTTCTTAAGTGCACTAGATTTAATACCTCAGGATAACTTTCCCGTACTAATTATTTCATGTAGGACACAGTGACAAAGTTAACAACTGGACAAGGTTTGGGCACACTTTTCGTTTGTATATATAATTAAAACCCATTGATAAATTTGAATAAGCAATGTAGAAGACAAATTTCGCGAGATGATATCATTTCGTAGTTTCTTTACAACCGCTTTACAGCTAACATGGTTAACAATAATAAAATAAAGTTCATGACAATAAGCACTTTGGATTAAACACATACGGCCTAAACTGTGTGTACAAAAACAATAGACTTCAATCTTTGATACCATGTACTACTTGAGCTATTGAAATATGATTGGTCATTAGTATGTACTTTTGATTTTATATAACTGCGTAATTTTCATGAACTTTATTTTATTATTGTTAGCCATGCAAGTTGTAAAGCGGTTGTAAATAAACTACGAAATGATATCATCTCGCGAAATTTGTCTTCTAAATGCCTTATTCAAATATATATACAATGTAAATACATTGTGTTATATTGTTTCTTTGGCTCTCATTTGGAACAGGGATTCAATAGCACATCTCCAGAGAGAAGCTATTCATAATCCGAAGTTGGTATTAGTACAATGCAAAGCATTTTATGAAGGTTTTCCCCCATATTGCGTTATCTCAAGTTTCAGATTCAGATGATGAGGGTATTAGGTACTTGTGGTCTGTGCTAATCCTTCAAAAATATATCTCTGAAGAGATCTAACTTCTCTTTGAAAGCGTTCACTGATGGAGCTGATACTACCTAATCAGGTAGGGAGTTCCAGTTGTTGACCACTCTGCACGTATTTTAATCACCCTCAGTTTGAGCACCTTATCGTGGCAACTCCGTGAATGTACCCAGAAAAAATGCAGAGTCTTCTGAACACCTTGATCTGTAACCTACGAATGTTTGGCATGCGATTCGCTCCCGCCAAATGTAAGATGATGTTACAGGACTGGACTACGCCGACTCCCAGATTAGAAATAGGAAGTGAAGTGGTAGATCACGTTGACCGCTTCACTCATTTGGGAAGTACCATCAGCCAGTGCCAACGGGTTGATCTCTGACGAAATCTCAGCACGGATACAAAGGGCTAGTTTTGCATATGCTAGTTTACGCCATCTCTGGCGTAGACTTGATATCCGACTATCGACCAAAGGGCGGGTGTACTGCTCATCAGTCCGCTCCGTCCTCCTTTATGGCTGTGAGACCTGGCCATTGAGAGTGGAAGACATGAAAAGACTAGCTGTCTTTGATCATGGGTGCCTGTGCTCTATTTCCCGTGTGAAGTGGTATAATAAGGTGAGCAATATTGAGGTTAGGCGTCAGTCGAGTGCTAGGTAAGGAGGGGAAATCAGTCGACGAGGTTGTGAAGTTACATCGACTGAGATGGTTAGGACATTTGTTACGTATGCCAAGTCATCGCCTTCCTCGACGGGCAGTGTTAGCGGATATAGGGTCAGGCTGGAAAGGAGCTAGCGACGGTCAAACGAAAACATGGCATCAGTCAATGAAATCCACAACAGTTGGTCTAAGCCACGCAGGAAGGTGTAGACTTCCAGGCTGGGCTCCTCGGGACGGTAAAAGTTCTATGTCGAAAACACACAGACAGTCCCTAAAAAGGGAGAAAATGTTAGAAAGGTCAGCTCCTAAATCACCCTTAAGTATACGGTGTGCTAAAATTAAGTCGCGTCTCTTCCTTCGGTATGATGACGGAACTTAAATACTCTCTCCTTTTTGTTATAAGGAAGGTATGAGATACCACTAACTTAATTGGTTCCTACCCTTTGTACTCTTTCTAAGATATGCGCCTCCTTCTTGAAGCATAGACTAGCCTCTTGTATGCAATATTCTAGATGAGGCCTGTCATATGTTGCGTAGAGTACTCTGAACATAGACTCATCTAATCGTTTGAAAGCTCTTCGGAGTGCCCATAGCATTCGAAAAGCCTTAGCTGCAGCTACATTGCAATTTGCAGTTGTTTTCAAATCATTGCTGACAATGATTCCTAGGTCCTTCTGTTGGTTAACATCAGGTAGTTCTGTGTCCCCTAGGGAGTACGACGTATAAGATTTCTGACCTAAGTGCATTACCACGCTTTTACCAGAATTCATTTCCAAACTCCACAGGTTCGACCACTCAGCTAATTTATCTAGATCAATTTGTAGGGCCGACCTATCCTCGTTATTATTTACATTTTTCCAGATCTTAAGGTCGTCCGCGAGTAATAATGAAGATGAAGTAAGGATCCCTGGTAGTTCATTTACGAATAATAGGAATAGCAAGGGGCCTAATACAGTTCCCTGAGGCACCCCACTGGATACCGCCTTGCACCCTGATAGTACACCGTTAATTCTAACCTTCTGCCTTGTAACCATTAGGTAATCCCTAAACCACTCACATAGTCACTGGTTTAGTCCGAAATCTTTAAGTTTACTAAGTAGACCTAAGCGGGATACTTCATCGAATGCCTTGCTAAGATCGATAAAAACCACGTCTAACTGGAGGATTTTATCTCTGGCCTTAACCCAGCCTTCCTTAGCTAGTAGTAGGCTTGTCAGACAGGATCGTCCTGATCGGAATCCATGCTGTTCCACCACCAGCAAGCCATGTTTTTCCACATGAGCTTATAGCGGATCCCTTATAATAGTTTCCAATACCTTTGCTATAATGCAGGTAGTTAGATACTAACTGCCTGTACCCCTCTTTGAAGATGGAACTTATAAAAGCATCTTTCCAGTCCCTAGATAGCCTAGCCTGGGTCAGACGCATTTGAAAAATCTCCGTAAGTGAAATGTATACTATATCCACCAAGGAGATTAGCAGTCTAGGGTGAAGTCCCTCAGGTCCAGATGAATCATCTGTCTTCAGCTTAGACAGTAGTTTGAGGACCTTTGTGTACCCGACAGATTCTAGAACATAGTCATTCCCACCGGCGTCCAACAGTCATTATATTCCTTGACCTAAAGGCGGAATTCGACTCTGTCGACCGGGAATTTCTCTGGCGATGCTTGGCTGTAAAGGGAATTCCGAGAAAGTATATTGCACTAATCAAGGCACTCTACTCGTACTCATGCAGCCAGGTGAGGGCTTACGGCGAGCTGTCATCTCAACTGGTGACGACCAGTGGTGTCCGTCAAGGATGCCCATTATTCCGTTTTCTATTCAACTTCATCATAGATGTGTTAATGGACTTAACCCTAAGTGACTTCAGCGATTCAGGGATTGACTTGCTACCTGGGAATAATCTCGTTGACTTGGAATATGCAGACGATATAGTCCTTCTAGGCGAAGACGCTGACGAAATGCAGTCTTCTGAACACCTTGATCTGTAACCTACGAATGTTTGGCATGCGATTCGCTCCCGCCAAATGTAAGATGATGTTACAGGACTGGACTACGCCGACTCCCAGATTAGAAATAGGAAGTGAAGTGGTAGATCACGTTGACCGCTTCACTCATTTGGGAAGTACCATCAGCCAGTGCCAACGGGTTGATCTCTGACGAAATCTCAGCACGGATACAAAGGGCTAGTTTTGCATATGCTAGTTTACGCCATCTCTGGCGTAGACTTGATATCCGACTATCGACCAAAGGGCGGGTGTACTGCTCATCAGTCCGCTCCGTCCTCCTTTATGGCTGTGAGACCTGGCCATTGAGAGTGGAAGACATGAAAAGACTAGCTGTCTTTGATCATGGGTGCCTGTGCTCTATTTCCCGTGTGAAGTGGTATAATAAGGTGAGCAATATTGAGGTTAGGCGTCAGTCGAGTGCTAGGTAAGGAGGGGAAATCAGTCGACGAGGTTGTGAAGTTACATCGACTGAGATGGTTAGGACATTTGTTACGTATGCCAAGTCATCGCCTTCCTCGACGGGCAGTGTTAGCGGATATAGGGTCAGGCTGGAAAGGAGCTAGCGACGGTCAAACGAAAACATGGCATCAGTCAATGAAATCCACAACAGTTGGTCTAAGCCACGCAGGAAGGTGTAGACTTCCAGGCTGGGCTCCTCGGGACGGTAAAAATCTATGGTTGGAAACAATTGGTGACATGGCTCAAAATCGTTCTCAGTGGCGCAGATGCATCCACTCCTTGTGACTTATGATCTCCAATGAAACTGTTTTGTTTTTCTTTATTACTCTTTTGTCTCACACCTCTGCTCACTGTTTCTATTATGCTTTTCTTGTACTTTCTTCTCTTGCTTCGCGTGCTACACGGAGTGTGACGACTTGAACTTCCGCACATTTGTGCAAAGTTCCATGTCGAAAACAGACAGACCCTACCACAACTGAGGGCATCTAAGTGGCGATGGCAGTGACCTCACCATATCTTTTGGTGGTACAATCAGACGAAAAGACGTCACAGAAGTATTCAGAGAAGTTTTCAGCCTTTCCCTCGTCTGACTCAGCCGCTTCTCCACTAATGCTTGTGAGTGACAGTATAACACTGCTAGTTTTAGTCCTACGTTTAATATGCGAATACAGCCTTTTTGGGTGATAAACACAATCCAGTACTAGCTGTCTCTGGTACTCTGCAGAACTCTTATCAATCACATGCTTGTCCAGTCTAACCTGATTGAAGTAGTTGACAGGTTTTTCATATAAATGCACTCGGGGAAATCATTTTATTCTGCAACAAAGGTGAGATTTTATAATAACGCCTGTGTAAAAGATGTTGCGGAGAAAGACAATGAAGGCTTCGTAACTAAGCTATGCAGTTCACAGAACATAACACCTGTATCAGTCTTTCTAAATTATTTTCTGGAGTTGCCATGAAGCAGTCTGCAATTGAAGTGCCCAGTAGCTCTCGCCAATCCATTACTTGGATGAGTGGTTTTTATTAGTTTTAGAAAAGTTTTCTTTAAGTTCTTGTCACGTCGCTGAAGGGGCTTGTAATGAAATAAATGTATTTCTAGTGAACTTCTCTCTACTGGTTGCTTATTGTGTATTCCACAAAACTTATTGCTTTTTTGTCATTGGTTTCCTCCGTACAACTAGACAGCTACTCGTTATATTCCTGGTGCACAGCTTTTTTGGCTTACCCTTAGTATCCTATCTGAAGTTACCATACAGACACATTCCAACATTCATTCGACGTAACTGCCTAACTGGCATATGTCATGTGAATATCAAATTTTATATACTTTTGTGGTGCATAGATAGTGGAGATTTCAGACACCGGCTCTTACTGTTACTCCGTACTTCTTCTAAATGCACCGTCGCAAGCCGCAATCATCTTGAGATCTAGAACATTGCTCGTTATTAAAGCAGACTACCCTCTAAACTCATCTATTTCAACATAAGTAATTTTTGTTACAAATCTTGTCATCGAATATCGTTCGTAGCGTATTATATTGAACAAATCCTGTACTAAGCAAATGAGCTCTGCAGAACTGTATTCCTGATGATACACCTACAGGGGAACGCTTTGTTTACCAAAAACAAGGTATGGTTGATTCGGATATGTTAGCGAAATTGATCAATAACAGATTAATTTTGAGTGACGTCTACTTTTTGGCAAATCAATACTCGTGAGTATTCCATATTAATGAGGTTACTTGTCCTTTTATTCAAAGCACTTTTTCATCTTAAAAATACATATGTTTAGGATTCCCAGGAATGTCTTTGTATTCGTTTGGTTCAAATATTTGTCAGCCTCAAAATATGGAAATCAGAGTTTTCTGTAACCATGCGCTAATTCAAAGCATCCGGTAAACTGAAAAGCATACCAAATAAAATCATACTCTCAGAGAATAAAACCAAATCAAAACATTCACCTTAGCTACATATATTCTGTATTTTTTGAAAATCATACAATGCTTTGTTTAGTGTGCACCTTTGGCGTTTGCTAGCGTTTTTCAGCGTCCACTTACTGTACTCTTTGATACTTCACAATTCACTAATGGCTCTGTTTACTGATATTCCCTTTAAAATTAGTTTTAGAGCAGTTATAATCCTGGTTTGGCGAGGATGGGTTTTATAGTCGTCAGAAAATGTGCTTGACTGTTTCGGTCTGAATGAATTTAATCGTTATCATTATCTCAAAAATTGCTATACTGATTATGGCTTTCTAAATTGTGAAACAAGCTGTTTACGTAGTGCTTGGACGTGAAGTGCAGTTGTTCTTAGTTAACCCCCACTAGTGAGTCTAAACTCCCTAGATGATGTCACCTGTTTGAGTTGCTTTTATAACTGACTCATATATAAAACCACTAATGACCACGGTACGTTTTCCTTGTGTTACATTAACATTATAAAGGCAACAGTACTCCTTTTAATACACTGCTCATAGCTGTTCCTCCCATCATTTCATTTTTATTGGTACATTTCTTTTTTATCGCCAAATTAGTTTTATTTCATGTTTGGACATCTAAGTTGTGGAAAGTGAGTGTAAATTTCCGTTAGTGAAAACAAGTGCTCAATTTTACATCGTTTGATAAGGCTAAAGCAATTTAAGGGTTATATTCGGCCATCCACCAAATGTCGTCTGGGATCATATAACTTGAATCATCGTTGTTGTTGATTCGAGGAAAATTATCCACAGTATTGTGATATTCTTAACTAACCTACTGAACATTCACAGTTGTCGATGTCATCACTACTTATTCACTTGATATCAATGATTAGCCAGCTAAATTTGGGCTACCGATATCACATACTTGTACCAAAAATACTGTGTGGAATCAAGCGATATTAAAAAAATTTTTTTTAATTTATAAAAATAGCAGATATTGTCTTAAGTGTTTTGTCATGCGACAGAAATCCGAAAGGAAGTATGCCAATGTGCTGATCAGTACTGTAAACTGCCTAAACCCTGCATTACGCAAAACATTGAGGCACTTCAAGAAAAAATTGACTTTCATGGTTTGGGTGTAAAGTTCAACTAACCTACATCTGTACGTCAGTTACCAACTATCCAACGCCATCTTGAATAAGATATAAAAATCGATCCTGAAAATCATGGCTAAGGTTCAGAAAGCTTTATATGGTCTTAAACAAGGCGAAACAAAAGAATCTGATCGTATAGCTCCAGAAGTACCTGGGGGTTGTGGTGACTGATTATATACTGGATTAACTGGAGTATTAACTAGTTAACAGGGATTGGAGATAGTTCCATTGGAATTGTGTAGATCGTCGCTTATTTTAGCCCATAATAAAAGATATGAAATTCTTTTGCATCCAGATGAAGATGAATTGTTCGTTCTCAAAAAGGCGTAATAGTTCTTGACCTTTTCTAACAAAGAAGTTTCAATCGATATTGTAATGCTTTTTAAATGTTTTGAATGAATAAAGCTAATTTCTCTTTATTTTACAGGTTCGAAGTTATTCCCTTGAAATGAAAATTGTATAATTGTACATTTAGCAGCTAACGATGTCAGATAGGTATGAGCATCAAAGGGAATAACATTTCTAGGATGGAAAGTTTGACTTTGAAACAACAGTTGAAAAGATATCTGCCATATTCCAAATGCCAGGTGTGTTTAACACTTCAGAAAGTAATGCTCATTTTCAGAATGAAGGATGTAAATGTAGTACATGGAAGTCAACTGATTTAGAAACAGACGACAAAGTTAACGATGCTGTGTGTAAAAATTGCCGCCACGTCACTTTAGCTTGTCTGACTCAAATGCTAGTGTTTGGCTTAACAGTGCAATGCAAATGGTTAACGATGTGGAGCGTATGTATGTCTTGTGCACAAAAGAAGAGGACACTGAGACGAGAAATATTTATTTTTGTATCATGAAGGTAAAAATATGCTAAGAAATACTAACAATGAATTTTTAGCGCCTTCGTAAAGCTTTAATGAACAAAATACAACCTGGTTTTGATGATAAACCTCCATTTGAACGACCTAATATAGAGACAGTAAGTACACATATGCGTGTTTTTATTTATCCTTATTCCAAAAGGCTGTTAGAAATGCTCTACTTCTTTGCGCTGTTACTAATCCTCAAAAACCAGACATCACAATTGAATTGTGCAAATTATTTTTGTCCTATATTAATTCTTATAAAATAGCCTATCCAAGCCAAAGAAGTCACAAGCATGAAAATAAAACCGGATATAAATTAATTTATATGAGGTAAGTAGACTATATCCATTTATGTATATATAATGTATACATTTCTTGTAGATGGTTATGTCATTGCTATATACCAAAGTTTTGTCTTACATTACCGTATACTGAAGTTACCTGTGCATTTGGAAAGAATTTCCTACTAGCTGTTTTACCTGAAATTAAACGAAAATTAAGTGACTTTTTCAAAAATAATTCTACAGCATCCTCTGCACTGGATGTCAAATCACATTTGATGCAGCCTTTAATGCGGTAAGTGATACTCATCGTGCTTTTTTTATTTTTGTCTATGCTTTATATCATACATATTTGTCCATTAAGTTCTTATTTGTTTTCTATCCACCTTGTATATACCCATATTAGGTTATGTAGTTTACTGGAGGATACTATTGACAAGGATGATACAACATCAATATGGGATCCATATTTTCGACTACCATCACTTACTGACCTCCATATAATTACTCCTAATAAGTTGATACAGTCAATTTCTATTGATCACATAGTTCATCATCATCCTACACATCAGCATAGTCTGTCTCTGGATAGTTCAGTTGACCTGAAAACAGATATAGCTGTTGTTACACCATTGATCACTGATTCTAAAGTGAATAGAGCATTCAGTAACTCTGATCTGACAGTTTGTGATACAAATATTGAAGGAAATAAATGCATCAAAGAAGACAATGAAACTTTAGCCAGTCGGAGATCAAGTAAGCAAAAATCTTAGTTCTTATCAATTAATTAATTTATATTATTTGTTTGGATTTCGTAATATAACAAGTGCAATACATTCACTTCATTTGGGTTATATCATAATTTTATGCCAATATATCTACCATTTAGAAATCATATAATTCCATTTAGTCCAGTTAGTAGTAGAGGTTTGAAGTTTATCTAGCTATACAGGCCTATTTTTCTGTATTTCATAAGCATTATTTTTAAATCTGCTTCCGAGTCTCCTATTAATAAACTTTTTTTAAAAGAAAATATGCTTAGGTGGACAGACAATGCAAAGTAAAAAATCCCACAAAGTCTTCTGAATACCTTGAGTAGCAGTCTTCGTATGTCTGGCATGCCACTCGCCCCTGTAAAATGTAAGATGCTGCTACAGGACTGGACTACATCAACTCCTAGCTTAGTGATAGGGAGTGAAGTGATAGAACATGTTGACCACTTCACCTACTTGGGAAGTTGTATCAGCACCAACAGACTGATTGGCGACGAAATCTCAGCACGGATCCAAAAAGCTCGAGCTACTTTCGCTAACTCAAGCCATCTCTTGCGTTGGTGTGACATCCGGCTATCAACCAAGGGACGTGTGTACTGCTCAGCAGTTCGCTCCGTCCTTCTCTATGGCTCTGAAACATGGCCAATACGAGTTGAAGACATGAAAAGGTTGACTGTTTTTGATCATAGATGTCTGCGGTCTCTTTCTCACGTCAGGTGGTTTAATAAGGTAAGTAATGTTGACGTTAGGCGTAGAGTGTTGGGCAAAGAGGGAAAATCAATCGACGAGGCTATAAAGTTACATAGACTAAGATGGCTAGGTCACGTGCTGCGCATGCCTGACCATCGCCTCCCCCGCCCGACGGGCATTACTAGCTGATATAGGTGCATGTCGGAAAAGAGTAAGTGGTGTCCAAACAAAAACATGACATCAATCCACGAAATCCTTGATAGTTAAACTGAGTCAGGTAGGGAGATGCAGACTTCCGGGTTGGGCCCTCGGGACTCTAGGAATCAATGGCTGGAGACAATAGGTGACATGGCTCAAAATCGTTGTCAATGGCCAGCTCAGATCTATTCAGTCTCTGTAATCATTCATATTTCTTTCCATCATTACCCATTCTGTTTCACTCTTATACTTGTGAAACTCTATTAATTCTCTCCACTCCTCTTCTTGTCTATCTTTGTGTGCCATTTGGAACATGGCAACTCGAACTGGTGCACTTCGGTGCCAAGTTCTATGTTGAATCCAGACAGACACAGACACCTCCTAATAACGCTATATATATATATATATATATATATATATATATATATATATATATATATATATATATATAGTACTAAATATAAGGTGCGTAGGCGGCTTAGCGGTACAATGCTCACCGACCACGCGTGTGATCCGGTTTTCCATCCCCGGCCGATGCACTCCTTTACCACGCTAAGTTGGTAATAAAACTGGTAAAGAGGGAAAGCTGGACATGGTGCGCTAACAACCCCACCCCATAAAAGTAAACACTACTACGGGAACTTCAAAGCTGTAGCTTGAAGCCCTATGTTCCGCTGGGAAGGTAAAGGAATAAAAAAACCCAACTAAATACAAGATGAAAGCGCGGAAGGAGAAAGTATAGACAAACAAATAGCTACAGAAATTGTTAAGCGCTTTAAGGATATTAAGGAGAAGAAGTATTTTTATCATTGTGACAGGCTTGTCACACTTCTAACTACCTTCTATTTCTAAGTGTAATCGAGAGCATGTTAATAAAAAAAAGTTGGAATTTGAGAAGTGTAGTAGTGGAATATGCTCCTCGTAGTTTTTTCTCACTTAAAGTTACTTTTGTGCCTGTGAGACGAATTGTAACACTTTCAAGGTGCGAAACCCGAAACCTTCAGTCTGCGGACTGTAAGTTAATTCACCTAGAATATTAGAAAATTTCACAACCGTTGATCATGACTTATATAAGACTAAAGCTTTGAAAATCTTTTCCCTAATATGTTTTTTTATAACCCTAACCCTGTAATGTTAAAACACATAATATTTTAACCTAATCATAGGCGTTCGTCTTCGAAGTCAGTCTTCCCTAGTGAATGCATCCTCATCTTTGAGTGATTCAGAAAAAGTGGATTGTAAATCCGAAGAGAAATATACAATTACTCATAGTGATTTGAAAAAACCTTTAAGCAAGAAACTGCATTTACCTGTTTCAGGAGATATTTGCATTACTGAAATAGAACAAATTTTGGAAGAAATTAAAAATGATGAAAGCCCTCGAAAAGGATTTTATCCTTTTCAAACAGTAAGTTAATACTTTCATTTTAATATTAGCTTAGTTTCCTTAGTATTCCTCTTTTTAAGCAAATATGTACTTGTGGCTGTTTATTATCAGGCTTTACTATTGTACTTGTACATTTGTCAAGCATAGACGAGAAATAACCAAAATTTGCGTATTTACTTAAATCGTATTGTTGAATTGTCTACGAAAGTGGGAATGTTTGGATTACGTTTATTTTTCTCTGACATTTTTATATTGACTATTTTGTAGCTTCATTTCGCGCTATTTGATTTTGATTTTCCACTCAGCATGAACATGATTATAATCGAGCATTATTAATATTATTATCATCAACTTTTTATACTACAAATCCGGTCTTTCTTTCTTTGTCGAAATTTATCAAGGGAACTAAATGTATGAAACTATTATTATCATTATTTAAATTCAAGTAATCGATTTATGCAAGTTGCTTGTTAAGAGTTGTCTTTTCAAATCGAAGCAAAAGATTTTCCTGTAAGACTATCAGCTTAAGTTGTGAGTGACAGTAGTAGATACTGTATAATCAGATTTAATCATTCCAGACATTATCGGTCCTCAACCAACTTGCTGAAGATTGTATATTATTTTACCAGCCATTCTTATTGCCAGCTTGCGCTATGGCATTTGATGAACACTTTCTCTCTCAACAATTGTTTGAAACAACAGCTTACATGAGTTGATATAGTACTTTGCACCTCACATATTGGTGCTAATAGAAGCCGAGTCATTTACAATATATTCGGTTATTCTTCTGACGTACACCAATATTGATAAAATCTGCTTTATAGAAGCAAAGTTCAAATGTTCTAGAGTCTTCTTTTCAGTCCAACTTATTCTCGTCTTCTTGCCCGCGATGGTCTACCGCATGTTTCAGTTCATCACAACGAGGAATGCCATAGGGGATGGTAGACAGCCTTCTCTTACTCCTGTTTACACTTCAAAGCCTCACTGAGTTTTCCGTTGTGGATCACGTAATATTGGCATCATCAAACATCTCTCCAAAATGTTCAAGTAGTTTCAAATTACTTCGCGGTTAACTCTGTCGAAGGCCCTTTTAGAGTCGATGAAGTTGAAGTGAAGATTAGACCACCATTCTTTTCTCTGTTTGACGATGATGCGTACCGTTGCAATTTGATACTCACGTGACTTGCTTTCCCTGAATCCAAGTTGTTACGGGCTGAGTTTTGCATCCAAGACATCTTCTACTTTCTCCAGGATGACGTGATTTAGTACTTTGCTTGGCGTAGGCACGAGCATGACTCCTCTCCAGTTTTTGCAGAGGCCCAAGTCTCCCTTCTTTGGTAGCTTTACAAGATAGCCTTTCTTCAATCAGTAGGTATCTTTTTTTTAACCAAATTTTTATAGTGAGGATATCCTCTGTGGTCTCTGGATTAATTCTCAGTGCTTTCGTAAGAATTCCATCTGGTTCGTCTGTCTTCCTGGGTTTCAGTACCTGTATGGCATTGGAAACTCCTTTTGTCGGAGGATTGTTCACTGACAGTCCTGTGGCTGTCAATGGTATTTCTGGACGAGTTTTTGATGATCAGTTTCGGGGTCTTCAGAAATGATCAAGCCACTGTTTCTTTCTTATCTTTCCTTTGGCAATTGAATTCCCTCAACTATTTTTCAGCAGTTTCATTTGTATTGATCTCTTCCTTCATAGTTACCTAGATATTTTTTCAATTTTTCCTTCACGTTCCCCAGTGGAACATAAGACTTCAAGCTAGTGACTTGAAGTTTCTTTAGCAGTGGTGTTTATTTTACAGGATGGGTTGCTAGCCTCATGCCCAACCTTTCCTCTTTACCAGCATTATTTCTGGCATAGAGAGGTAAAGGAGTGCGTCGGCTGGGAATCGAACCCAAGACCATATGCATGGCTGGCGAGCGTGCTAACCACTGTGCCACCGACGCACTGTTATCTAGTTAACTGATATATATATATATATCTTACTCCCTGATCTATTATCATACTACCAGTTTTGTCTTTCACATATTCATTGTACCAGCTGCATTCATTAAATGCAACAAGAGATGCTGCTGCCCGTCAAGAAGAATCTGCGGGGAATATTGAATTTCATATAGTTAACAACAGTTTAAATCCAAATCAAGCTCCACAAACATATATATGGCTTTTGGAATTATTGAATGTATTCGCCTTACAACTACCTCGTATGCCAAAAGAATATATTGCACGTCTTATTTTTGATCCGTAAGTATATATGCGTGAGGTTTGTTGAAATATTTTTATGTATCTTGTAAATTCACCCCGCCCCCCTCCCTCATAAACTTCATTGTGTTTCACTTTTTTTTTGTCGATACTAGGTTCATGGATTTACTCTTTTTGATTCGAAAAATATGTAAACCTTTTCGAGTATCACAGCCCACTTAATAATTGTGGTTCATAACACGACAGGCACATGAACATTCATATAACTGCCAAGTCACCTTGATGGATAGTATTAATGATGAATTCGTTCGAGTAGAGTAATGGTTTCTCACGAATGACGTGAAGAAATGAGTTAGTAACAAGTGTAAAAATATTGATAACATATAAGAAGGAAAATCAGTAGACGAGGCTGTGAAGCTACATCGGTTGAGATGGTTAGAACATGTGTTATGTATGTCTAGCCATCGCCTTCCTCGATGGGCAACGTTAGGTGGCATAGGATCAGGTTGGAAAAGAGCCAGTGATGGTCAAACCAAAACATGGCTCCATCAGTTAATGAAATCCACAACAGTTATTTTAAGCCAGCCACGTAGGGTGGTGTAGGCTTTCTGTCCGGTTGGGGTCATCGGGACGGTAAAATCCATTGGCTGGAGGCAATTGGTCATATGGTTCAAAATCGTTCTCAATGGAGCATATGCACCCACTCCTTGTGGTGAATAATATCAAATAAAACTATGTGGTTCCTCTATATTACTATTTTTTTGCCTCATATCTCTGTTTGCTGTCTCTGTATTGCTCTCCTTTTTATTTTCTCCTCTGGCTTTGTGTGCTAAGTGAAGTATGGCGACTCGAAATGCTGCACATCAGTACAATGTTCTCCGTTGAAACCGGTCAGTCATTCGTAAAACATACTATTTTTACGAATCACTTGGGTTTTTCAGAGTGATTGAATTTGTAACTGTTATTTCACAATGGTCATAGCAAACGGGGTATTAAGTCTGAAATAAACTAGACTCACTCCTGTTCAGTCTAGTCCAATGTGTAAGATAAGGTCAAATGGGGGTATAATTCGCTACATAATCATTTTAAGGAGTTATGATGAATAAAATCGAATCGTAGTTGGTTTCCGAGTATTTCTGGAACTTCTCATAACACCGTGATACGCCTATTTACACATGGAGTCGTAAGTGCATGTTACTAAATAGGTACAGTCGTAGATTAAACAACAGTTCCTTGTTCCCTTTTTATTTTGAACTATCTAACTGATATGGATTCATGATGGAAACTACTGTAAGATAATCAGAAAATAAAAGCAGATAAGTTTCAGCATACAGTAAATTTTAAAGTTTTGGAGAAGTGTAAATATTTCCTAAATTAATCAACTCCAAGTTAGTAGGTTGCCATACTCGTAATTTATAACTCTGTTTACTATAGAGCTATATAATTCTCTTTTTCTTTTGAATCCGATCAGTTTTCTTTTTATCATGACCATCATACAGTTTCACTATCATGTTTCTGTTGTTGATTCTAATATTGTTACCATCATAATTTGTATTGTTAAGCGTGTGATGTACTGTCGACTTTTACACTGTATCCATACAGCTGTTAAGGTTTTCAATGGTACACTGAATGGTTGTGCAAAAAACTACGAAATGCTTCTCTATAAACTATAAACCTATCCCCTTGTATCTCATCAGGTAGGACGAGAAGTTAATATAAAAAGTCATATGCTCGTACCACTAAGTACAGAAATTCTACAATACCCTATTTAGCCCGTACTTTATGAGATGAAGACTCTGTTAGATGTGAAACACATAAGTTACTATGTAATTAGCACAGTAAATTGACCCTTTCATAGTTCATCTTTCTGTATTTTATGGTGTCACACTTTCTGTCGTTTAATTATTACTCTGCTATTTTATTTTAGTTAGTATTACTATTATTACTACAATTTTATACTTTATGCATATTTTTCACCGTATTGCATACAGTATTTTGCTATGTAGCTGCTATAACAATCGTTTTATTATTATTATTATTATGTAATGTGTATTTATAATTTTTTTTGTCGTTTTTGAGTAAATTAGATGCAATATTGTACTGAATGCTGAAAATCCTTACTGTGTCATTAGTACTGTTTTTGGAATAAAGCTATTATTATTATATCTAATTTGATTTGAGATCTTACCAAAAGTGATAATCATGATGACTGTCATACAATAGCTGTTTCAATTGTAAAGAGTCTATACTTCTTTGTAATAAACACTTAGTTTCTTAAAAAATTATGTTTAAACACAAACTTGGTACATAATGGGCACCAAGAGATGAGCTGCACAAAATCCCATAAATTGTGCGACGGCTAGGATACTCCCCGGATGCCGCGAGCCTTCGATTTAAAGTTTGATCTGCATGGCAGTGGAGGAAGAGTCAGGACCTACCCTCCCATGGTTTTGGGTGCCAAAAATGGTTCATCCTATCCGTTTGGATTCCGGAACCCTTGTAAACCATAGCTTTGGAATCAGGGTTCTCCAGTTCTCTCGGGTAGACGAGAATGGCCACCAGTCCTGTTGTAGGCGCCAGATGTCCTTATTCTCCCTTTCACTCTTTGGAGGAACACCGTTGCTGCATGAATAGTACTTACCTGACAGAATCTATGTACGCATAGCCATACGACAGCATTTCTAGAGGACAACTAAAGTCTGCTCGCCCTTGGCCGTACTAGGTTGTTTATGAGGGTACTGAGTTTCAGTCATCTAGATAAGGGTGATGAACTGTTCGTATATGTGGAGGTAATACTTTAGGTCTATATTTTGCCCGTATATAGTAAAAAATCTAAATTCTATGGAGTATTTACATATACTAAGAGAAAATGTCGTGCTGTAAACATATAGTTTCATTTAATCACTTTCGGTTTTATTAATTCATATAAAATATGTATATAATTTGTACCTTATGCAGAAAACACAAAAATCTCATCCTACTCAAAGTTTCTGAAGGCAGTGAAAAACACGCTATTGGTGGAATATGCTTTCGTATGTTTCCATCTCAGGGATTTACGGAAATTGTGTTTTGTGCAGTTATTTTCAATGAACAGGTTAAAGTACGTTTATTTTCAAATTGTATTTCTTTGTTGTCTTGTTTTAAAAAAAATTCACTGCATGAAATGACCTTCGATTACTTCATTACCTACCTGACTAATTTTCATGTTTATGCGTATTGATTAATTCTGGCAAGATACGTGTAGTAGTTAGTAAATGTGTAGTTGAAGTTTATTTGGGAGTTTATTGGATCAGTAATCTCTTGGTTTCTGGTGTTAGCCCTGTTGAGACTTTTTCTGTTTATTTTAGTTGCTTCTGAATTTATTTATGTTACCGTACTTAACTCAACAGTGATATCCTTCAGCCATTCTAGAATCTTAATGAGACTGTTGTCACGTGATAGTCACATTTAGAAACTATTTCAAAGAAACTTTTCAGTTATTTTGATTATTCAATGTCATCAGATTGTCTTTCTGTATGTCTAATTATTAATAAATAAATATCAAGGACGGAGAGTATACAAACCTACAAAGGATCTTCCAGTATTCTCTCAATCAAGAACTAATAAAAAAACGGAGTTGTTAGGACGGACAAGCTTACTTTTTAGCGATGGAGTCATGATTTATGCATGTGCTGACGTGATAACTTTATTGGACGGTTTTGATTTGTTTATTTTTGGCTTAAATTTCTGAAATTTTATAAATATAAGACACCAACCATGTATTTTGTCGACTAAGTGTTGTTGTCGTTGTTATTTGTTTTCATTCTAGTCTTCGTTTTTCCCAGTCTCACTTCTGTGTCTATCTCAGTGTAGTAGATAATTCCAAGTGGATCAGTTGGGTGTAGTGTCGTTTTTTGAAGGCGCATTCCAGTCAAGTTAGACGACCCCACAACCCTGTCGTAACAATAACTTTTCCCTATAGAGTAGGCTGTCGATACAAGTAATTTTCTGTTGGTTTGATTGAATCAAACTAATAAGTCTTTGTTTGTAAAGACTCTGGGTTCAGATTTTAGTGGAGACAAGGTCAATTACTGGCATGTTTGCGCGCGGGACTCAAAAGTCTTCAGTATGATTGTTTTAGGCCTTGTCAAACAAATGTTTCAGGAAAACGAAAGAAAGAACGTATGAAAAATGAAGTTTCTAATTTCATTATTCTTCAATGCATGTGTGGTAAAATCCTCAAATTGAAATATTCCAAATGTAATTTTCTACAGAAGTCTATCATATTCCTACGGCATGAAGTTACCTTACAAGGAATTAGTGCTGACTGGAGTAAGGTTCATACCATCGTATGCTAGCTTCCTCCAAAATTGATAGCAGAAGTTCGGAGTCTCATGAGATTCGCTTCTTACGAGCGTCACATCGTCAAGAATTTCACCAGTCTAGTTAATCCACTTCATCGCTTAAGTAACTGTTTATTTGTTTTTATAATTATTTTATTTATTTCCTTCACGTTCCCAGTGGGACATAGGGCTTCAAGCTGGAGGCTTGAAGTTTCTGTAGCAGTGTTTATTTTTACAGGATGGGGTTGCTAGCCTCATGCCAAGCCTTATCTCTTTAATAATAATAATAATGGTAAAGCTTTAAGACAGTATGCGAATATACGGTACAAAAATTTTTTCTTTACACAGGATTCACATGTAAAGTAATAATCTGAAGTATATCTTCATTTCGTTGAAGGATTGTACAGCGTTTACTTGGGGACAAGTGAAATCATCGCGCAAGTTTATGTATAGGTCATTTGATATAACTGGACGATTAAAGGAATAATAAATCCAGGTGAAATTAGGCATTTCGGAGGAAAGTGATTTCGGTAGTCCAATGATTTAAGCAGGCCGACCAGTCTTATTACTGGATAAGTGAGGTAAAGGAGTGCGTCGGTCGGTGATCGAACCCCGGACCATGTGCATGGTCGGCGAGCATGCTAACCGCTGTGCCACCGACGCACACAACTAACTAACTGTGAAAAGGTGCAAATATACCTAGGCTAGTTAGTAACTCGTGGCCGTATGATAAGCTTAAAACATGTCTAACCTCCCCTCCAGTGTGGGCATCCCCGGCTGGTCCATTCATCTTAGATACTGACTATAGCGTTCAGGTGATGGGAACTGTTCATTCAGTTTCCGCTTGTGCTAAAAATCTAAACTATTACTGAAACATCATGTATAATTTTTTAACTTTTCCGTACTTTAAGCTGTCGTAATAGAGATGTTGAATAATTCACAAATGCATTTTCTTATGAAATTATGTAATGGCATTATAGTATATGTTATTACCAAATCAGGATTGTGACATAATTGGCGGTCTGCTTAGGACTTCGGCTACCGATAGCCTCCATCAATATATATATATATTGCGTATAATTTCTCTTATTCATTTTGTTTAAATCTAGTGAAATACGACCTCTAATAGTATTATTTACTCTAGCAAGCATTTAAAATGTTCACAATCTGCGGTATCGTAAGTTTCTACTAAACATGAGAAAAAGTATTGTCATCAACGACAGCTTATCTGCGTGCACGAGATGACCATTCTTGTAGGGCGTCCTTGGTTCCAAAAATGTATTGTTGAACTTTTTATTATTGGCATTCAGCAAAATATAGTTTACTCCTCAAAGGATAAAAAGAAGAGATCTCATAATGGTGGATTGGTTTCCGCTTCAGTTCAGACAGGACTGTGTTACACGCTTTACTGTCAACCAATCTTTTATTTAAACATCCTGGACAAAGAGGAAATATCATGCAATGAACTCCGCTGAAAATTCTGCGCATTATATAAACATTGTTCAGAATAAAGCTATTATTATCACCATCATTATTGTCCAGACACTAATAGTGTAGTAGTACAAGTTATATCCTATCACTTATTTTTCGAAAGCTTAAAATTAGCATCCTGAGTTTGACTTACACGAGTCTATATAAATTTGTATTTATTATTCGTTTATCGGGAAACATTCTCTTTAATACACAATATTCTTACACAGCAAAAACAATTATGTAATACAATCTTTCATGTTTCACTTCTTTTATTTTTCCTTTTCTGTAATAATATTTTAGGGCTATGGTACACAAATGATGAATCATTTGAAAGATTATCATATTCAGCATAAAATATTTCATTTCCTTACATACGCTGATTCATTTGCTACTGGATATTTTAGAAAACAAGGATTTTCACGAGAGATACGCCTCTCTCGACAAGCTTATGTAGGATTTATTAAAGAATATGAAGGGGCTACATTAATGGGCTGTGAATTATACCCAAATATTATATACACGCGATTTTCTGAATTGATAGCGAAACAAAAAGAGGTATGTTTTTCTTTATGACTGTGTTTGTATTGACTTCTATACTCTTCAAGTTAGAAATAACATCAGTTAGAGAACCAGTTGTTATATCGTAATTTGAAACTTTTGAACAGTTTGCATCCATTACCCTCTCTCCCCGAGGATTACAAAACCACGACCTTCAGGTTATATAAGATAACTCCTTGACCATCCCACCAGTAGAATGAAATCTAATGCCGTCTGTGAATTCTTTACTTCCTTCACTGAATACTTTTTTCACAATATTTTACCATAAGTTAATCTGGTTGAGATTAATACTGGTAATTTACGCGGAAACACTGCGTTTATTATACCTTACAATTAGAGTTTTATCATCAAAGTTGACGTGTGTGATTGTCATATTCTTTAGTAATCTACATTGGTTACCAAGTATTAAATTTAAACAATCTTGAAAATAGAACGTTTCGTTCGTTTCCCCTTAACATCTTGTGTAACCTAGCAACTTATGGTTGTTTTATTGCGTTACATTACTGATATATAGTGTAAAAGAATATCTAAAACAAGCAATAAAGGTTAATAAAGCAGGATTCAATGAATTCATCCAATTTCGGTAGAACTCGTCAGCTGAATACTCTACATAAACGGATATATATAAACTTTTGAAATTACATTGGGCGATATAAGGCTGATAAGTAAACAAAGTACATTGAATTAATCATGCAGAAAGACAGGTGCGAATGTTTTCCAGGTCATGTTCAAATAGATAAGGGGAGAGAGAGTATGAGAGATCAAATTAAGATAAATGGCATTACGCTTCAATTGCATCACTTAGATAAACAATTAGTCATTAGGGAATATAACGGGAATTGCAAATAGTAACATCAAAAAAAATAGTTATAATAAAAATAATAGTGTTGAAGCGAGTTAAGATAATGCTACTGATTAGTTTAAATGAATCAATAATAATAGGACAAAAAAAAAGTAGAATAATAAGTAAAACATATTACCATGGTAGATTCAGAGTGACTACCATCTCCTTTTGTACACAGAGACCTGGTTTATAAACTCGAATTGCACAAGCCTCTGCAATTGCAAGCATCTTCTTGTTTCTTTGTCTGCTGACAATAGTGAATGACTTGACCGCATCGATATCATGTCCGTAATCCACAAGATGTTATGTTATTGAGGATTTTGGCACTTAGCACTCAGCTGTTTTAAACCATTTTGCCAAATGCTCCATCATACAAGTAGACAATCGCCTTTCCGTACGACCTATGTATTTGCTTCCACAAACACATTCAAATTGATATACGCAGTTTGAAGTGTCGAGGATCGACGACTGGTCTTTCCTAGATTGTTGAAGCACTCGCTTAGTGGTGTTAAGGAAAACAAGTTTTGCAGCATAATAAGTTCTCCTGATGGCCTTATTTGGGTCTTCGTTTGACTACTTCCTATACATCATCTCCTTTGAACGGCAAACTGATATAGACAGGTGTCTTCGGAACTGTTTCGATTGGTTTGCAGGGGCTAATTTCCTTAGAATATTTATTAATGAACTTCTCAGGATATCCATTCTTAGATAAAATATCCTCCAGAGATTTTATTTCATGCTCAATAGTGCTGTCAGAACAAATTTTTCGTGCTCTATTGAACAGTATTCTAACTAAGTTCTTTTTATACTGGATTGGAACAAAGCTCCTGAAATGCATGTACTGTACTGCCCATGAAGACTTTCTAAATATAGATCTTTCGATTGTGCCATCATTCATTTTGGCTAGAAAAACGTCTAGGAATTTAATAGTATCGTTTTCCTCGTGTTCTACTGTGAAATTGAGTTTTGGATGGCATGAGTTGAATTTTATCAACATGTCTTCGGCTTTTGAACATCGTATGATTGAGTGTTTATTCTTTACTGTTTTGGTTACACAGAAGGATTAGTTATCTACTCCTGTCCAACATAATCTACGCTTATTTGGTTGGTCACTTTTGTTATTAGCTGCAATCTGTAAACTTATTAGTCATACACGTTTATAACTTAGTCCACGTGAAGACGTAGGTCAACACTGATTCACAATTTATTTATTAAAACATTATATGCATTTTAACTTATCCCTCATTTCCACTAGGTTATTAATCGATTGATAGAACGACGTCGTGAGTCGATAAATCAAGCTTATCCAGGAATACCTGCTAAGTTATTTCGTAATGGGCCATTGAAACCAGAACAAATTCCTGGTCTAGCTGAATTAGGATTTACTGCAAATCAGTTCCCCGACTTATTTGATAAAATTGATAATGCAGAATCATCAGAAAATGTGACAAACAATATTAATCCATTAAAACGTGAATCATCGACTACTATTACTGATCAAAGTATTGAAGAAATCCAAAGAATTCCAAGAAAGTTACGCAAACGTTCATTACAATCTCCTTTTAGTCCTCTGAAATCAACATCAAAGTTACAGATGAGTTCAAAAATTAATTCAAGATTACGACGTCAAAGTGGTTTGTCGAAAATGTAAGTCTATTTTGTTGTTATGCTGTTATATGGCTTGTTTTAATGGAACGAACTGCTGATTTGGCTCTTCAAGCTGAATCAAACTAAGTGCACCGTTGATAAAATTGTCCCTAAAAGGTGAAATGTTCCTCCTTTGATCTGGCCATCAGGAACTACTGGTTCATGTGAATACATGTCATCATAGCTTGTTATGTACTGCTTTAGTTCATAAAACTAAAATATTGTTCATCTGATCAGTATTTTGATACATTCCCTCACATTTTGCATCGTCTATTGTAATGTATGTTGGTATTAAATAGAAATTTTAGTCAACTGTCTCTTCGCAAAATAATCTTTTTTGTTAACTCCAAACATTAAGAGTATTCCGCATCACTCCTTCATCAGTAAAATTTGCGTCTCGCTCATCATGCATATCTTTACTTCATAATAAACCATCGTACAAAACAATGGGAGCGAGGAGACAGGAATGCTCTGGAACACCGATAAGAAGACTGCAGGAGATCTGGATTTCTCAGATGATATATGTCTAATGTGACATAAACTCAAAGACTTGCAGGCGAAAAGCAACAGGCTGTCAGAATAAACAGAGATAGTGAGGCCAGCACTCCAAGTGAACATAGACAAGACGGAGATGATGAAGATAACCAACAAGACTGGCAACAAACCGACCAAGATCCGATCGCTCAACAAATATATGGGGGAAATAGAGATAAATGGGGCATATGTTGACGAGGCCATCGAATGACATCGCGCTCCAGGCTATTACTCGAGTGGAATCCAACTGGGAAATGACGAGTGCGTCGTCGTTGCGAGGGTGACAGGGGGAGATTGTGCGAAATGGAGATGAGAGATTATGGACAATCATGGACCCGGTTAAAGAAGACGGTAGAGAATAGAACGAAGTGGATATGTGTTGATGAAGCCGTATGTTCCACTCGAAACCCAAGGGAGTAATAACAATAAAATAATGTTAAGACACAATGCGTCAATGACACCTGTCTGTCTGTCTGTCTGTTTTCGACATAGAACTTTGCACAAATGTGCGGAAGTTCAAGTCGCCACATTCCGTGTAGCACGCGAAGCAAGAGAAGAAAGTACAAGAAAAGCATAATAGAAACAGTGAGCAGAGGTGTGAGACAAAGGAGAATAAAGAAATACAAAACAGTTTCATTGAAGATCATAAGTCACAGGGAGTGGATGCATCTGCGCCACTGAGAACGATTTTGAGCCATGTCACCAATTGTTTCCAACCATAGATTTTTACCGTCCCGAGGACCCCAGCCTGGAAGTCTACACCTTCCTACGTGGCTTAGACCAACTGTTGTGGATTTCATTGACTGATGCCAAGTTTTTGTTTGACCGCCGCTAGCTTTTTTCCAGCCTGACCCTATATCCGCTAACATAGCTCGTCGAGGGAGGCGATGGCTTGGCATACGTAACACATGTCCTAACCATCTCAGTCTTTGTAGCTTCACGACTTCGTCGATTGATTTCCCCTGTTTACCTAGAACTCTACGCCTAACCTCCATGTTGCTCACCTTATTATGCCACTTTACACGGGAAATAGAACGCAGGCACCTATGATCAAAGACAGCTAGTCTTTTCATGTCTTCCACTCTCAGTGGCCAGGTCTCACAACCATAAAGGAGGACGGAGCGGACTGATGAGCAGTACACCCGCCCTTTGGTCGATAGTCGAACATCTCGTCTACGCCAGAGTCGGCGTAAACTAACAAATGCGAAACGAGCCCCTTGTATTCGTGCTGAGATTTCGTCAGAGATCAGCCCGTTGGGGCTGATGGTACTTCCCAAATAAGTGAAGCGGTCAACGTGCTCTACCACTTCACTTCCTATTTTTAAACTAGGCGTCGATGTAGTCCAGTCCTGTAACATCATCTTGCATTTGGCGGGAGCGAATCGCATGCCAAACATTCGTAGATTGCGCTCAAGGTGTTTAGAAGACTCTGCATTTCGTCAGCGTCTTCGCCTAGAAGGACTATATCGTCTGCATATTCCAAGTCAACGAGATTATTCCCGGTAGCAAGTCAATCCCTGAGTCGCTGAAGTCACCTAGGGTTAAGTCCATTAACACATCTATGATGAAGTTGAATAGAAAAGGAGATAATGGGCATCCTTGACGGACACCACTGGTCGTCATCAGTTCAGATGACAGCTCGCCGTAAGCCCTCACCTGGCTGTATGAGTACGAGTAGAGTGCCTTAATCAGTGCAATATATTTTCTTGGAATTCCCTTTACAGCCAAGCATCTCCAGAGAACTTCCCGATCGACAGAGTCGAATGCTGCCTTTAGGTCAAGAAATATAATGACTGTTGGACGCCGGTAGGAATGCCTATGTTCTAGAATCTGTCGGAGGGTGAAGATATGATCAATACACCCTCTTCCTGGTCTAAAGCCTGCCTGGCTCTCTCGTGTTTGTGCTTCCCGAGCACCACTCAGTCTACGCATGATTATTGAGCCTAAGACTTTAGATACTATATTAGTCAAGCTAATCCCTCTGTGATTATCACAGGAAGACTTGTCTCCCTTCTTGTATATGGGGATAATCAGTGACTTACACCAACCCGATGGGACTTCTTCTGATTCCCAGACGCTGCCTAGTACCTCAGTTAATCCGGACAGTAAGCTGTCTCCACCGTACTTAAATACCTCTGGCGTCATTCCATCAGGTCCCGCTGCTTTGCCTAGTTTCAGATTGGTGACAGCTTTAGTAACCTCAGTTAGTGACGGAGGACCTGTGTCTATATCCCATTCAGGGAGGTGTTGGATGCTCGGAAGGTTGAGCGTGGCTGTGGGCAAATTAAACTGCTCCTCATAATGCTCTTTCCAACGATCCAGTCGTCTATCCTGGAGCTAATTATAGTGCCATTTTTTTCCGAGATTGTCTCACTATGATTTGTCTTCTCCCACCCGTTTCCCTGATGAGTCCAAAGAGTTGCCTGGTGTTGCCTATCCTCAAGCTTTCTCCATCTCTTTGGCTTTTGTCGCCCACCACTGTTCACGGTCCTTGCGGAGACTTTTCGTAAGTTTCCTCTTGTGCAGCTTTCGCACAGAAATTAAATTAAAATGTCTTTCCATCTGTTTTTTGAATATCTTCCACTTAGCAAAAATGTGCTCTATTTTATGCGATAATATGGAGTATACTAACAGTTAAGACTATTGTACTGGTCATCAAATCTAATGCACATTGTGGCTAGTAAGTTAAGTGACTAAGCTTTCCCTGTTCTCTTCATCTGAAAACTAATAATGACTCCTTAAAATGTTAAAATGGATGTTAAAATTTTCGTCATTCTTCATACAGACAAACCTACTTGCTCAGCAGATCTTTTCTCATCGTGGATGCTGTAAACTATGTATGATTTGCATGTTGTACGTCATCACGTCTTTTTGTCAACTACCTGCAATCCTTCAGTGCTATAAATGCCAACTTTATTTGATTATCTCTTTCAACGTTTAAGTATTATTAGAGGTGGTGAAAAATCTTATCTCACTAGTTCTACATTATTTTTATTATAAGATTGACTTGATCATTCGCTTTTATCATATTCACTAGACTATCTGACATAACACTGGTTGATGTAATGGACAATGGTTAAAGGTGGAATGACAATGTGAATCATGTCGTGATTTGAATTAGATCATCAGTTATCGACGTAGGCTAATTAACTCATCTTAAAGTATTGGTTTGTAGGGGTTGGATTGATTGGTTACAGGATTTCATCATGAGCTGACATCGGTTAGAAAACCATAGGGAAACGAATAGGGAATACTGGACAGCTGTTTCGTCTTAGTTTGGGATTCTTCAATAGTACACATCTCTCGGGTTTCGAACCCAGGACTTTCTGGTTCTAAAGCGAGCCAGCTCGTAGATCATTAAGCCACTGGGACCCTTTTCAATGGCCGGTCCATGAATTCTAACTTCTGCCAATTCATGCACGACATAGCGCGAACGCTAGCTATTGTCTTTGGCGAGTATTCGTCCTCACGCCCGACCTGCTGCACCCTACGATTTTGTACTATATTTTGAATAAATCCCCATCAACTGCTATCTGAACATTCAGCTAGTATCATTAACCTATCCACAATAACTTTTCTTCATTGTCTATTATATGTATATGCTTATGGTTTCGAAGATGAATTAGTTTATTCCTCTATTTAAAATTCACTTCAATGCAGAAGGTAGAATAGTTATTGATTTTCCAGCTGTCAATGTATTTCACACTTTCTAAAATTTTAATATCACTTATCATTATTATTGTTATCACTTTTTGACATTTTTATCATACGAATAAATGCATCAAAAACACAGGCCAGATCCACTAGAACCTGTTTGGATTCAGAAAACGAAACAGTTAGCAGAAAAGATACGTCCTGTTTTAAGCGCAGTCCGTACTCATGTGTTAGCTGGTCCTTTTCAAAGACCTGTCACAGAAGATGAAGCTCCAGGTTATCATAAAATTATTGTTTTTCCAATAGGTAAGTACGTAATTCAATTGATTCCCTTCAAGTGTTATTTTCTTAGTGGTATCACTTTTAGTCTGTGACTATTTTTGCGTGATAAGTGACTGGTGCTTATTTGGTGCTCAGAACTTAAAAAGAATGATTATCATTTTTTTTGAGAGTATCAGTGTATCCTTTGTTATCTATAGTTGTAAGACAGTATAACTCGTATGTTGCACTTTCTGGGTAGTGTCTGGCGTAGCATGTCTATATGCGAACATGACAGTCTCTGAAGTCACTGATTATCAGCATGGACAGTGTATTGAGGTGTTACCCACTTGGCTGGTTAGTGTCCTCGAGATGCCACTGATCATTCATCAGGAAAGATTTCCGATGGATGATATGTCTTTTTCTTCTCCATTACTTTGCATTTCCAGTACAGCATAGGGTTTCGAACTTGAGTCTTGAAGTTTACCTAGCAATGATAGTGTTGGCCTCACACCTAATCTTTCCTCCATGTCAGGCTAACTACTGGCCAAGTGAGGTTTAGGAGTGCATTGACTAGAAATTGAATCAAAGTACTTTCATGAAGAAAAGGAAGTAAAATTTAATCTTGAAGTAGAGTACGAGTTTAACATGCCACCATGGAGGAGTGATGGGAGTTTCTGGAAAATTGTTTCATTGAACGTTGTTATGAAGTGGTTCAATGACAAATTCCTGTAACTGGATAACCATTGTTCACAAAAGAAGACGGATAAGAACATTCAGTACCGCCACTTGACGTGTGCATAAACTTGATACGATCGAAAATAAGATAAACTTTCTAAGAAATTTATTCATAGTAACTGAATAACCCCGCTTTTCATAGATAAAAATGCCTAACTAAAAGTTTTGAAGTGTGACGTATCTTGTGCACCAAAGGAATTTCTGTCTATAAACCTAGACTTCAAAGACGACTTAGCAATTGGGATATTGAACAAAAAGGACTTCAAAATTCACGAAGAATAACCACAGTAGTATAATTGAGAATTGTGTTTTTCAAGCGACCATTATTTTTTAACAACTTGAAGGCTAATATTTAGCACCTGACCAATTCAACGTGTGCATACCATTTCACCTGCCCCTGCAGGGCTCAATATACCGCTCCTAGAAGTGTCCTTTCTAAGAGAGTGTAGCGATACTGCCCTGTGTGGGGTTAAAAAAGTCGTAGAAGGGGATATTTAAGGATTTGCAAAAGTTGTAAATTTTTTTGTGTTACTGGCCATTCTGTGTTAGCCACCCGTTTAAAGTTATCTGCGAAGCAAAAAGTAACCTTCCAAAATCTCTGTGTTTCCCTCATCCGTATTTCTAAATCTTTAGTCATGGAAATAGAAAAACCAAATTTTCGTACACATACGTAGTCTGTTCAACCTTAAGGTCGTAATCCATCAATGTTAAAAAAGCTTCCATTTCTTTCAACTGTCTTGATCATTCTGTAACATTACTTGTTTTCTGTTTACATACTTATTTTGATAGTAATTCGCTTGTTTTTCTTGTTTTATAACTTATTATCTACAAATATTCATTTTTCCTAAACATCTCATTTTGATGAATATTCACCGGTAGAAACACTGAATTTATTCTGTTTGTTACTACGTATTCTAAATGTGAATCTGTTACAGAAATCCATGAAAAAAATACAATTGTACAACTGTATGTATTAAAATCAACAGAAAGAGTCTCTTCTTCCGTCAAATGTACGATGGTGCTACAGGACTGAACTGCATCATGCACTCATAGCTTGAACATCGGAAATGAAGTGGATGAGCCTGTTGACCACTTCACTTATTTGGGAAGTTGCATCACCCAGCGCTAGCGTGTTAATCGCTGACGAAATCTCAGAACGCATACAGAGAGCTCATTTGACGTTTGCCGGCTCACAGCATCTCTGGCTTAGTAGATGTGATATCCAACTGTCGACCAAAGGGCGTGTCTAATACTCAGTAGTTCGCTCTGTCCGTCTTTTTGTCTGTGAGACATGGCCATTGAAAGTGGAAGACATGATGAAAAGGCTAGCTGTCTTTGATCATAGTTTTCTGCCTTTTATCTCCCATGTTGCTTGGTATAATAGGGTGACTAATTGATATGTATCCATATATATATATATATATATATATGGTGGTCTGTCTTTCTGTTGCTCTCTTAGTCTGTGACCATTTCACTTTGATGAACCTGTCTCCTTTAACAATGTATATTCCCCTTATATTATATATAATATGTGTGTTTGTTGACAATCTGACCTTGGTGACATATATCCATATAGTATGTATGTTTGTTGACATGTCTGCTATATTTTGCTATGTATATATGGATCGATACTCCATTGTAATTAGCCATTCATGTTAAGACTGTCTATTGATTTGTTCACACACTTGTCTGGACATTCATATATATATATATATATATTGCATTCACATTCTTGTGTGATTTGATTCTCCTTGTGTTTGGAAAATAGACGTATCATCGTAAACCTAGTGGTCTTCTGATTTCCGTCTTTCTTGCGTCAGGACTATTAAATTCTCGACCAGTACATAACAATAATTTGGCGACGAGTACATAATACTAATATTGAACTTAGGCTTCGAGTGTTAGGTAAGGAGGGAAAAGCAATCCACGAAGTTGTGAAGTTGTATCCGTTGAAATGGTTAGAATATACGTGAAGCATGCCTTCCTTCACGGGCAGTGTTAGTTGATATAGGATCAGGTCGGAAAAGAGCTAGTGATGGTCAAACCAAAACATTATATCAGTCAGTGAAATCCACAGCAGTTAGCTTAAGCCACCTATGTAGGGAGGTGTAGACTGCCGTCTCGTTGGGGTCCTTGCGATGGTAAAACCAATGACGGCTAGAAACAATTGGTGGTATGGCTTAAAATTGTTCGCAATAGCGCGGGTGCATTCACTCTTTGTGATTCATCTATCATATCCAATAAAATTTTATTGTTCTTCTATATTACTATTCTTTTTGCCTCACATTTCTGTTTATTATCCCGCTTCTGAATCTCCCTTTACCGTCTACCCGTGCTATATAGAGTGTGGCAACTCGAACTGCTACACTTCTGTGCAAAGTTCTATATTGAAACCAACCAGTCTTCACTGAATCAAGTGTTTCTTTCCCTATGGAATAATATTGCATGTATATAAAATTTTTTGGTAGACAGCTGAACAGAAATAACTTCAGTTAAACACCGTTATCATCTAGTTATTGATAAGTAAAAGTATTTCATTTTGAAATTTTAAGTCAATTAGGACGTTAGACAATGCAAATTATTCATGCTGAGATTCTAGTAAAAAGAGTCCCAAACTAGGACGAAACAGCTGTCCCGTACTCTGTTATGTACTCGTCGAGTAATTAATAATCCTGACGCGGAGAGAGGGAAATCAGAAGACCACCAGGTTTACGATGATACTTGTATTTTCCAGACAAGGAAATGTGTGTGAACCAGAATATATATAAGTGTACAGTACAAAAGTATGTATGAAAATGGCTAATACACATGAACCAATAAATGACAGTCTTAACATGATTGGTTGTAATGTCATATGACAACAAGGTCATACATTGTTTATTTAGTTAGTGGACAGACAAAAGCATGTTGTCAGCTATAATGAAATATCGATCCATTTACACATAGCAAAATATAACAGACTGTCAAAAACAAAACACACACATCATGTGGATACATATCATACTCCCTATTGGTTTTCCAATGATTCTCTAACCGATGTCAGCTCATGATGAAATCCTGTAATCAATCAATCAAATTTCTACAAACCGATACTTGAATAAGAATATTACTATTCTACACTAACTGTAGTTAATATTTGACCCGATAGTTCCGCAATAATTGGTCACCGAATAAAAAGTAGATATATGTAGAGATTTGTTTGTATAAATGTCGGCGAAATTGAGAGGAATAATTCAAACGTTTCGTTCGGAAAAGAAATTTTTGAGTGTTCAACTGCACTTCGCAGTAGGGACCAGAATCAGAGCGTTCAGGTTACGAGGTTTAGGCTCTCAATCACTGGGTTAGAATTCAGTTACACCTTGAATATCTTACCTCTGTCATCGATGAGCATCTATTTTACCCTGACAGGATAAAACCCACCTGCCACAGATTCTCGTCAGAACTTCAGGAGATCATCCATCCAATAACCGTTAATCATAGGCTAGAGGTTAATATCAACATCATGGATTATTTATTATTATTATTATTATTATTAATATCACTGGATACTGGAGGAGCACTAGACAGCTGTTTCTTTGTTGTCTAGATAGTATTGTGAGTCTAGCTTGGAACAAAAGTAGAATTATTGAAGATTTTGTCTTCCCTTCATTTATTCATTCATTCTTTCTTATTCTTAGTGTTTTTTCTTTGTCCTTTCACTTAAAAGTATCCTATTTATACATACAATTTCCTTGTCCTTTTTATTTGTATAAAAATAGATAGATATAACGTAGTATGCCTTTTGAAAATCCTTTATTTTCTTACAATATGGAGAAAATAGTTATTGTCTATTCATTCACAAATATATCATTAAATATAAATTGTTTAAATAGAATAATAATAATGATAATAGCTCCTATGAGTATAAAGTCTTATTTTCTGACTTATTGCGTATCCATCCTGTTATAATATCACCAAACTGCTGTATCCTTTAGATACATAGTTAAATGACTGAATGTGTTCAGTGAAGAAATATACTTATTATTATTGTTCCGTTGGATTCCGAGTGGAACGTAGGACTTCATCAACACATCTTCACTTTGTTATATTTACTCCCTTTCTCATCAGGTGGGCCCACGATTACTTATAACCTCTCACTAACCCCCTTGCCACCGTCAGGTGACTCACTCGTCGTTTCCCATTCGTCTTCCACTAGAGGACCCGCCGCGCAATGTTGTTCAACGGTCTCCTCAGTGTTTTCTCAATCCATCTCCACCTTCTTCTACATATTTGTTGAGCGATTGGCTCTTGGTTGGTTTGTTCCCAATCAGAGTTTCTTGTTGCTAATTCTTTCCAGCTGGTCAGCCATTTGATCTTGAGTATGGAGCCGCCAGCGGAGCGGGAAGCTGTTGACAGAATTCTGCAACTTGTTGGAAATTTTTTTCGTGACTCACGCTCAGTGCAAGTTTCTGACCTGTATAGAAGAGCTGACTGACTTCCCATTTGTGTTGAAAATCTAAATCTTGTTCTTTATGAAGGGAGTATCTTGCCCTCCCGAATTTGGCTGGTTGGCTTTGACACCTCCGTCCGTTCTATCCGACTGACGGTGGTTGAAAACGTGCTTCCTGGCTAGATAATTGAAGGAAGTGACATCCGTCATATCTCTCCCGTTGATGGTGATTGGTGGTGTTTGCTATCGCTGTTGGCTTTCTGGTTATCTTCATTACCTTCGTCTTTTCTATGTTCACCTGTACTCCTGTCTTCGCTGACAGCCTCTTCAGCCAGTTTGTTGGTTTTCACTTGCAAGTCTTCAAGTTTATGTGACACATAAAATAAATCATCCGCGAAATCCAGAACTAGATTCTTCTTATGGGTACAGTGTATTCATGTCTTCTCGCCATCCATAGTCTTCCGTATAATCCAGTTCATCACAAATAGGAATATCTTTGGTGATAATAGGATCTGTGAGTCATTGATTTAAGCACTCGAACTACCCACACTCCTCATTATCTGGGTCGACGCAGCCACTTAGTGTCTCTGGCTGTCAAACAATAGTTGTGGTTCATTGTCAGCAACACTGAAATGATAAAATGGTTGTTGGATAAAATTTGATTTCATGTTGCATTTACTTCCAGTTTTCTAAATTAATCATAATAAAATTTGAGTAAAATTGCAATAATCTGTAGATGTTTAATGATTGCTGCCTTCAAAGTTTTCTCTCTCTTTTTTTTCTTTAAGTTCCGAGTAGAACATAGAGCTTCAAGGTGTGGAGTTCCAGTAGTGTTTATGTTACTTTTACGGGCTTGGGTTTCTAGTCAGCCTCATACCCAACCTTTCCCCCTTTTCCTCGCTTACTACCGGCTAGGTGAGGCTTAGGAGTGTGTCATCTGGGGCTCATACCGGGAGCACGTACGTATCTGGAGAGTATTCTGCGCCTTAACCACTTACACACTCTTTCAAAGTATTATTTATATGTGATGAAACCTCGGAGGAATCGTTACTCCTGCGGATTACAATGTTTCACATAGAAGTTTTCTCAACTTTGTTATCCCTGAAAGGATATGATGCTAGGGTTTGTGCTTCAGATCACATGGTTCCAAGTTTACATCTGTGTTTTTCCCATGACACAACATTATTCGACACTATGTTTTTTTATCTGTCAACCGTTAAATATACATCTCTTCATAAAGTTTTTATTTTATTACTTTACAGATTTAGGTACAATGTGGGATCGCCTAAAATCAAACTATTATGTTACCAAATCTTTGTTTATCGCTGATATGATGCGAATGTTTCATAACTGTCGTACTTATAATCAACAAGACTCATATCTATATAAGACTGCAAATACTTTAGAGCGTTTTTTTATCAATAAGATGAAGGAAGCCAACTTATGGCCTTAAGTCTTATGAACAGTCACATAATTTATGTATTTCTGTACAAATTCATTATTTTGCGTGTTTTCTTTTTCTTTCTTCAATATGATTGCGTTTATTTCTTTATGTGTATATGTGGTTTTGTGCAACCTTATCCTCGTAAGTGGTATTCTGTAAACTGTAAATATATAATTGTCTGTTGTTTTTGTTATTATTACTACTGAGTATATATGTGTATTACTCGATTTTGATTATTTTTGTGGTGAGAGATGATGACGATGATTGATGATGAAACGAGAATTTCTTTTTTCTTCGACCTTTAAGCATAGCTACACACTTCGTCGACGGTAAAAAGTGCGGAAGTAATTTTCTAACTCACTGACAAATAAATCAGTTAAGAAGATATTTAAAAGTCTTTTCAATAGCTTAACAGAGTAGGAAATCGCTCAGTGTATCTCTAGCATAGATTGAAGTGTAAAATGTAAATGCATCTGCACCAGCAGTAGAACATATTTTGATTTGACACTAGTAACTAGTGTGATGCGTCTAGTCCTCTGATTGGTATAGACTGAATTCTATCAGCCAGGTTGTGATGTGACCACCATTCTAGCTAGCTCACCATCACGGTGCACATTGATTTGATGGTATTAAATGGTTGGAGGCAATATACAGGAAGCCTTGGACCTAAGTTTCGTGCTAGTTGGCACTCACCAGTCAGCAAGGCGTATCTGCAACCTTGAAGGAACTCATATTTCTTCTGAAATTCGTAACGTCTCTGACTGCAGCACTGGGTGACGCGGGTTTGAATCTCAGAAGGGACATGAGTTCCTTCAAGGTTGCAGATACGCCTTGCTGACTGGTGAGTGCCAACTAGCACGAAACCTAGATCCAAGGCTTCCTGTGGCCGATTGCCTCCAACCATTTAATACCATCAATAGAACGTATATTATGTGTTGATTCCCATTTACACTTTGAGCTAGATATACAAGTTATAAATGGAATTTAAAAAAAGCATAATAATAATGATTATTATTCCCCTAGTTTCAAAGTGGAACAGGCCCATCTCCACGTTATTTTTTTCTCTGTAGTCATCCTTTCTGTCTGACTTCGCGATTCCATATGAGCTTTCATTACCTCCTCTATGTCATCCAACTCATCGTTTCTTCTATTTGGGTTCTACTCTAAGATCTGGCAAATGATGTTACCCAACGGTCTCCTCAATGTGTTCCCGGTCTGTCTCTATTTTCTTCAGTATATCTGCTGAGCAAGAGATTCTTGGTTGATAGATTGCCTGACGGAATTCCTTGCTGCTAATCCTTTCCGGCCATAATAACTGAATGCACTGTTTGAATTACTATATCTGTTCAACAAAAAACGCAAAGTGCATTATATAAGCTCTTTTGATTTCGTTAAGTTTTTCAATGTAGTGATATTTCTGATGGCTAGTGTAGACTCTACTAGACATTGGCTAGGGGTTGCGCCATGTCGTGAATTGGTAGAAGTTAAAATTCGTGGACTGGCCATTGGATCGGGTTCCAGTAGCCTAATGGTCTACGAGCTCGCCTTGCAACCAGAAGGTCCTGGGTTCGAATCCTTGTCGTTTGGGTGCAACAATTATAATTTATGTGTCGTATAAAATTTGGCAATGATATCTAAACCTGTCATTACAATCAGTTAATCTGACGTCACTCAGACACCACAGTCAAAAACAACCGTTTTTTTTTTGAAAAACTACTGAATACATTTCATCTACGTTCGAACGTTAAACCAGACAAACGACAGTGCATAGAGTAAGCGATTCGACAAAGCTGTATTCAATGAGACCATGACTGGCAACGTTAACGAATGCCACGATTCCATATCCCCCTAAAACGGTCACTCAACTGACCATGGATCTTCGTAAACTTGGAGTGTTATACGCGGCTACAGACTAGCTGAACAATAATCAATCAATTAAGATTCAAGTTGCATAAGTATTGACCATCTCTCTGTTACTCAGACAAACAGCCAGTCAAATTCCGCCTACTACTCAGTACATGTTGCTGTACGACTGGTTTCCAACCTTCCCCCTTTACCATTCTGATTACTGGCTTAGCGACGTAAAGGAGTGCGTCGGCCAGGGTTCGAACCACCTGCATGGTCGGCAAGCATTGTCCTCTGTGCCACTGACGCACATGATCTAAGTAGAGTTTCTAAATGTATACGTCCAGTGAATATCTACTGCACCACTTAGTTATCTTTGTAAATAACCTGAATGGTCAGCTTAGCACTTAGCGAAAACACGATAGAATGGGTACTTATTTACCTAGTGGTGTTCATTTATCTCTCTCTTGAGCCCCCTATGCTGGAGTTGTATTTGATCTCAACGGAAAAATGTTTTTTTTTATTTCAGCTTGATTCCACACCGTATATTTTGGTATAGATATGGAATTTTCATCATGTGATATCGGTAGCCCAAATTTTGCAGGTCGACCATAGATATCAGGTGTGCGTCGGTAGGGGATCGAACCCCGGACCATGTGCATGGTCAGCGAGAGTCCTAACCACTGTGCCACCGACGCAGTGGTGGCAAATTACTTTAACACCTTTTTGTGTATAGTTTGGTACTAATATCTTCTGTCATTTCAAATTATCTACGTAGTTAGAAGTGATACAATGAGAACTGACACAGTATGTATCATCCAGTTTATATAATTATCAATATTTATGAGTAAATACCACTCTGAGATGTTTTCTGGGGTTGTTGAGAGTATTATTATTTTCTCTCAAAAATATAAATGAATTGTGGAATAGTTCTCTTACAGAAAAATGTACGATTTCATGCTCGCTCTGATGTCGAAGCAGAAGTGATTTTTTCACCATTAAAATAACAGCTGTTGTATAATTGCGTCGCTTGGAAACAGAAGCGGTTGTACATGTCACATGCCTAACTTACATGAATAGATGTCTTGACTTCTTTTGGTTAATAGCTGCTGAATCCGCAGTAGAAATATTCATGATATGCTTGTGTTTCATTACCTTACCACTTATTAGCAGGTAATGTGCCTTACTGTACACGAATTATTTAATGTAAAGTAATCACCAAGGCGTACAGCGTCGTTGTTATGCGAAGCAACGCGGAACTACGATGCAATATAATTCCATATTACAGTTTAGCAGGAAGCCCCTCTTAAAATACTTGTTTTACTTACGAACACATTAGCTAGGTGCAAATGTACCAATGTTGAAACTCAATTACTTTGTAATATTTGAACCTCTCATTCAGAATCGACGTCACCAGAATTTAGAATATAACTAGCAGCGAAGTCGGTGATTGACAAAAGCTACAGATATACTCCAATGGGAATAATGATAACAGGGATTAAGAATAGTTCAACCAAATATGACTGACGATAGACTTCTCTAAATTTTCAAGTGTTGGTTTTGTAGAGATTTTCGTTTGATTGGTTGGAGGATTTCATCATAAGCTGACATCCCATAGAAAACCTGGGAATACTGGACAGCTGCTTCCTCCTAGTTCGGCACTCCTCACAAGTACGCATCCATCACAGGGGATCGAGCGCAGGACCTTCTGGTTACAAGGCGATCTCGTAGACCATCAAGCTACTGGGACCGGCCGATACAGTGGCCAGTCTATGAATTATAACTTCTGCCAATTCATGACATAGCGTGACCACTTCGCAATGTTTTGTTCGCTTTCTTGTATCCAAATGCATGTTAATGTTAGCCTGTATTTCATTCTTTCGACTAAATGATCATGTTCGTTCTTCTTATATTAGGTATTATGAACTGATTAAAAACTCTAGAAATAAAGCTGGAGTAATGTTTGACGATCGACTTAAATCTTCTGTAATAAGATTTAACAAAACTGTCACTACTGTGTTGTTTGTTCAGTGGTATGCATCCTCCCGCTTATCTCGCACTGATAACTGCACGTATTCCGAAGATGATCTAGCCATTGTAAAGAAAAAAATCGGGACATTTTGGAAGTAATATTTCACAAATCTGTTTGACATTTACCTGTAGAAACTGCTTTGTTTCTAAACACTGAAATACAGCACCTACTTAAATAAACCATTCATGTTATCAAGGTTTATCTGTCATTTTAATTTGCTTGCATCTAAATGTCATGCCAGTGGTTAGTTCCTCTAAATTTTGAAATTCTTTTCGTAGAATTCTGACAAACTTTCCAGCCATACTTTTCACTAAAATGTCAGTAGTATTAAGCTGTCAAGTATATTTTTTATAGACGCGTTCTACTTTTCGAATTCATCATTTCCAACTTACATAGTTTCTCGTTCACCCAAGCAGCCAGCCGGAATTCGGGCGCTTTGAATTCGTTACAGGATTTCATCATGAGCTGACATTAGTTAGAGAACCACTGAAAAACCTGGGAGTACTGCACAGTTGTTTCGTCCTACTCTGGGACTCTTCATCAGTACGCACTCACCGGGGCTCGAGCACAGGATCTTTTGGTTACAAGGCAAGCTAGCTCATAGACCATTGAGGCACTGGGGCCCGATCCAACCGCCAGTCCATGGATTCCAAATTCTGCCAATTCACGACCTCTAGTCAATGTCTTCGGCGAGTATTTGTCCGCACACCCGACCTGCTTCACCCTTCTGGCCACAACTTCTCACTAGAACCCCAGGTAACTACCCACCTGAATAGGGCAAGTCGCTAGTGAGCATCTCGTTGATATTCAAGTGTTGATTTGTAGGGATTTGAATCCGTTTGGCTTTCTAAGCTCAACCATTCCTCCTAGACCGCTGATGAGATAAGTCTGAAGTGAGCGAAACTGTCTTATGGTGACTAGATCACTTCGATGCAGCCAGAAAACAACACTGTTTGACTTGAGTGGTTTCCTACTACTAATACTGATCAGTAGTATTTAACATCAGCTTAAGAGTCTTACAGAAATTAATGAATTCATTAACTACTGCCTTTTTATGACAATGGTTGCATGTTTTAACATGCATTAATTTTGTTATTGTATTTAGGGTTTACCTTTTCTATACCCACATTTTTAGAGATATCAATATCTTGAATACTTTCATAAACATTCCATAATACCTAACTGAAAATGAAGATACTAACTAAAATTTACACAAGATAAAATTAAAACTGTAAATAGTGGTGTAGACTACCTTGTAAATAAACTAGGTGTTATATGTTTTTGGTCAACCTCAAAATCATCTCCACAAACATCAGTTATTATTAAAGTATACGAAAAATTAGGGCAATAGAAGGTTTCTCAAATGCTTCACAGTTATCAGTGTCACTAATTTGATTATCACATCGTAAGTGGCTCGTGAATTTGACGAAATATTAGTAAAGAATACTTGATATACTCATTTTCAGCTAAATGTA